TGGAGACCATGTCTGGACGGGTCAGAGCTGTTTTGGCGGCAGGAGGGGGACCTACACAGTATTAGGTAGGGGTCTTAATGTTATGGTTGATAGGTGTATGTGTTATTCGTATTGTTGTGTTCATCAGCGTTTCTGTGTAGCATAACAGTGTGTTATACCAAAGGAACTGGCCGGGCTGTTTGCTGAATGTCAATAAACCCGCCGGGGATTTTTCCCTGGCTGAATTTGTGCTACATCGCTGCAGAATGATGATCTGTTGTCTGTTGTACCTTCAAACTAATCTCCGTCCAGGTTAGTTTTAACGTTGTCTCATAGCGTTACTAGATTTTTTTCACAACAATTCTTGCCCTTTGACGAAAAGACGTTACCGTTTATCGAATACGTTATTCGATGCTTATAAATGAAGACAATGCAAGATGATTTTTTTTACAGGAAATAATGAACACCTATAATTGTCGCCCACAAGGAAGGCTGTGTGAGGAAAAGTATTTTCAGCCTGGATGTAATGTAATAGTATGCCAGTGACCAAACTTTACACACTTGGAGACTGAAATCCTTTGATACCTAAATTGTTTATAGAAACTGTTAAGATATTATGTTATCCGATTGTTTTTATTATAAATGCATTTGTCACAAGATTAGATAACACCATGTGTGGTTTATATGTGTTTTTCTTGGAGTATCCATGCTTTATTGACGTGGTTTAACATCGCATTTATTTATCTGGTAGACGCTTTGTCCAAAGCGACGTTCATGTGGGGCAGATAATACTTAACAAGCATACAGCTGTCATTGAGCCAAGTTGAGTACAAGTGCTGCTGGGTGAGCTTCCAATAATAGACTAAAAACAAATGCAAGAAAGCTGTGGGGGGAAAACGAGCCATATGAACGCAGCTTAAAACCTGGCATCAGAAAAGCTATTCACACAGATATCACCCAAAAGAGAATCTAGTTAGAAAATATAATTGGGGAAATATTATGTTAATTATGAAACTATTTGGTCAGAGCCAAACTGCAACTAAAGGATATTAATTTTCGTCGTAATTGATAACCAAAAAAATCACCAAAAACGTTCAGATTGATTATATACTTTCCCGATCCTTCATGCAACAGCTCGAGCTCGTATTTTTAAGAAACCTTTGAATAATCGCCAAGTCGTATTTTTAAAGTAGCTTCCAAGCAATTGGCCAGCGCGCATGTCGATCATTTAATTCATGCCACCCATTGTTACTTCTAGCCCGCCCTAAGCTTTTGTTTGTGATATTCTCATTGGTAAACCACGGTGTCCGTTATAAACCTGTCTGGCCAATCGGGAGGTAGTGACCCGAACGCTTTTGGTGAATACTCTCTCACAGGCGGCGGAGGATCGCAACGTCGCCGCGCGCATTGAGTAGAGCTAGAGCCAACGGTCTGAGGGGCGAGCCGTCGCGAGGAGACGATCCGGCTTTATTTTGCTCACAAGAGACAGCAGCAAATTAGAAATAAATTACGGTTTAACTGGGGGGGTCGGACAGGTGTGACCACCTTGACGTGGGGGGAACGAGGGATTTGCTCAGCAAGTTTTTTTTTCTTATTTTGCATTTTTTTTTGTGTTTGTGAAGAAGGATTGTGTTGGTCTGCTCGCACCTTGGCGCAAAGATGATGGTCGGGGAGATCGAAGTGAAGGAGAGACCGAGGCCGAGTCCCGACTACCTCATGCAGCTTCTGAACGAAAAGAAGCTCATGGCCAGCTTGCCAAACCTCTGCGGTATCTTTACACACCTCGAAAGGCTCCTGGACGAAGGTAAAGACGCCGTGGGGACTGTGGGGGAGGTGGTGGTATCCCGGCCACGACGCGCTTCACTCGAGGCGTGTAGCCAGTTAGCTTTTAGCAGTTAGCTGCCCTTAGCCAGTTAGCCACGTACAACTTCGCGAAGTGAACACTTTCTGGACTAGCTTTAACCCGGCCGCTGGCGTTCTCCGCAACCTTCCGATGCTTTCACGAATAAGTTGCCGACCTTTGGGGCCACCTCGGTCCCTGAGTCCCGGGGCTTTACGAACTTTATTTCTCCGGTGAACTGGCTACGGGAAAGTTGTCCGGACCTAGGTGTATAAGTAGAGGGCGATCCAGTTACTGTGTGCTGCCCCCACCCTGTATGTGGAACTGTTTTCGTCTGGGTGTTTTCCGTTATACTATGCGGTCTGGAGCACTCGTTGGACCACACGGCGCAGGGACGCACTTTTAAAACGCATTTTCTAATTTTGTGAAATTCACTACGTGCCTGTTTTTTCCTTCACTGCCTGTGGGCTAAGGCACGCCTAATTTGGTTTTGTCACTTAGCCAAACTTTTTTTTTTGTTTTCTGTCCTTCGGAAAGATTTCGTACTCAAAGTTAACCGAAGTGGACGATCGCCCGAAGCGATCGCCCAGTGTTTTAAGTCGGCACAGACGCGTTATGGGCTGTATTGGAATGTGTTTCCGGCTGCCTTTGAACTGCGAGGGTGCATGCTAAATGAGAGTCCCTTCGATCCAGTGGGAAGAATAATTTCATTAGTTCGTTGTCACCCAATAGCCGCTCAAGATTCCCATAAGATTGTCGAAGTCGACCCCCGATCAGCAGTATCGTGACTTCTCAAAAATCTCCTGAAATAGACGTTTTGCTGGCTACAAGTAGATCCCTTTGTCCGGTTAAGTGCTACTGGCTAGGAGCGAAAGCCTGATATTTCACGCAGCTGGTTTAACGGCACTTTGAGCTGTTTCTCTAGCTATAAATAACAGGGCGAGGGAGAGCTGGGAAGTGCGAGTGTGCTTTTATGTAATTGCATTAAGTAGGTGACGCTAGAGTGCGCCACTTTCCCCTGCTTTTCGGCTGGAATTTCCAACACAATCCGAGGAACAGCTTGTGCGCTCCATCATGTCGTGGCTTAGGGAAATCAGATAGAGGGGTGATACTGGTGCGTTTTCCTCTTACCCTTTTGTGAAGGCAGACGTCTAATGCCACGTATCAAGGAGGACCCAGGATTATTCATAGGCAGTGATCCCCGCACATTAATGAACCTTCTGAAATAAGTTGTAACCGTCAGACTCCTAGGTTGGCATACGTGAAGGCTTAGTGTATATTTGGGCGTTTTAATTATTACCAATTAAACCTGGCAAGGGAAGACTAATGTTATTATTGAAACGTTTTGTTTTGTACAAAGTTACGTAATTTTTACTAGTTGTGAAGACAGAAAAAAAAGCCCTTGCCGAACAGGTTTCACATGCTGTGGAGTAGGGTTTCTTTGTGTTTGAGTAATGACTAAAATTTTACAGTGGAGTGAATTATCACATCAGTTGCTGTTTTGTGTATCTAAACCTATCTGCCATTTACTTGTGTTTAAAATTGAGCAGAGTCATAATGCTGACCATCTGACTGGTGTCTTCACACCCTGTGTAATGTGATCCTCTCTCTCCCTCTCTCAGAAAGAGCAGAGTGTGGGGGTCGTGCTGGCAATGGAGCCTGTGTTTGGCTGCCTGCTGTCCTCTTTCCTGTCTCAGTCACAGGCCCTCTGTGATTCTCTCTTCTGCGTGGCCGAGTCCCATACTATTTCACCGCATGATGTGAAGTCATTGTGTCTTAGAGTCATTTTCTGTAATCCCCATCTTTTTTTTTTTTTTTTTACTGGTGCTGCATGAAAGCAGAAATGAGGTGGGGTGTTGCCCATTGCTTGATTTCCATCACTTGGGCGGGTTTGTTTTTACATTTGCTGAGACTCTGTGCTGTTCACATTCTTGTTATTGGCTTGTGGAGTACCCAGAATGTAGGTTTTACTTTACATACTAAGTTGTCTTCTGCCATAGAGCACAATCCCTTCACTGTTTAGCCGTGCTTGTGTGTTTTTTCCTGGCTGTGCCTGCTTGCTCCCTGCCATCCGCAGCCGAGCGTGTCTGACTGTCTGCTCTCCACCGAATGCACCAGCCACAAAAGCTTCCCCCATAAATACTGGTGTGCGAGGAGTTGGCTGAAAGACATCTTTAGTGTAAACATTTGGGTGTGGAATATTTCGGACTGTAATGTTTGTAGCTAAGTTTCACCAGTATGTATTCTTCCACTGGCTAACTTCTAATCATATGTGAAATTTTGTATATGGACATTGTTTTCTGTACTTAAAAATATTCATTTATTATGATGGAGCCTTTTTTTTCTTCTTTTTATTTAAAACTGGTGGGGTCTTTTGTCACATGGGCCCTGGTTTTGAGAAGAGACACTCGTACCCTAGTTGGGTGTGACTGCCTGAGCAGTAACTGCTATTCTAGTGGTGCAGATACAACACATGTCTGTACTGCGTCAAGGTGACCCCTCAGTCCTGGTGCCTGATTAGCAGTTGAGTGACGCTGCCTGGGGTGTGGAGCGGAGGCACAAAAAGCAGGGCTTGTGGCGATAATCTCCACTCGCACAACCCTGAGAGGCGAGGAGGTGGTCTTTGCCGTCACCTGTTCCACAATAGTTCTGGCAGCTGCACACACATCACATACATTCCTCCGTCTTTAGTGTGCTTTCTCTGTGTGCCCACGGTTTCCATGGAGAGGAGTAATCAGATACCCTTTGATCCACCAATGAAACCCCCTCCTAACTATGACCACTATGAGGAACAAGTGTTACTGCCCAGACTTTAACTGAACTGAAGGTGTCTTTGCTTTGTGTGGTGGACTTTTGAATTCCTTCACACTGCAGTTCGTTTCAGACGTGATTTTGCATGGGTTCTTGTTTTTGTTTTTTTGTGTTGAAAATGGTTTAATTTCTGTTTGCATCGGCCAGTAGTTATCAAACCGTGTTTCTAGTTCCCCTGTTGCTGGGTGAAACCAATATCCAATTCCAGTGCTTTGTGACAGTTGGAGCACTGTGCTTATTGTCACCTGGAGGGGGCAGGCTGTCCATGGCATTATAAATTGTTACTCCCAGCCATGGTGACTCCAGGTCAGCACCAGTTGTGGCTTGTCGAGTGTGGTATGAGCAGGCATTTCTATGTTTAGGCTTGTTGTCACTGTGAGTCACACAAAGAAAGGAGTTAACTTTGACTTGAAGTGCTTTACTGTCTTGTGCCTGGAGTTGAATAGATAACCTCACCCCCTGCTCCTTCAGACCTGCTGCTGGTGCTGACAGTTCCCCATTTCTGGTTGTGTCTGACTTGACAGGACTAGGGTACCTGTATAAGTTCCTGTGATACAGCTTTACACCACATTTATCCGCAGAAGGTCTCGCACCCTCTGAAACACTGGTTATGCAGTACTGCAGATGCTGGCCTGATTGGTGGCTCAGACCACTGCGTCTGCTTCCACACTATCTAATGCCTGCACACACTCCTCCCTCTGCGAGGTGGTATCTGGCTGGGTCCTAGCTGGCCTGCCTTGACTGATAAAGCAGTCTCCCATCAGACTCTCCTGTTATCTGGACCTCAACCTGCACCATTTGAGTCACTTTATCACCCACCCCCCACCATGCGCTAACATCCAGGCCTCTTACTGCAGCCGATTAGCACAAGAGGCATTAGTGCACATTGCTTGGTTACTTTACAAGTTATCAGGTGCATGTTGTGGTCCTCACCCTTGTGAGGAATGAGGGCTGTCCTACAGCTGCTTTGATGGAATGGCTTGGAGCAGGCCCTGCTCCCATCCCTAGCCTTCAGAGACACCATTACATTTTTTATTCCCCCTTTCATAAAAAGTATTTTTGTTTTTGTAATGTTCTGGTGACTAATTCAATAGATTGCCTGAGAGCTCCCCTGTTTGCCTCCCATCCCCTAAGCAGAAGTGCTGGGCTTCAGCTTTGCATTTCCAAGCTGCCTGCAATAGAACTTCACACATCTGTCTTCACTGATGCCCTTTCACCTCAAAAAACTGGCATATATGAGCCATCAAAAGTTTATGGTGTCCTTTTGCTTCTGTTTATATGTTTTCGCCACATCTGTAAGTCATGTCAGTTCCCCTTACCCTCTTTTCAGGTGTTACCTGGAAGACAAAGGTGTAAGAATGAAGGATTATAAGTGGAATACCCTATTTATAAATTGTCTTGTTTTAGTCCTCTGGTGTTTCTCCCGAGTTGGTGTGTGGTAACAAGCTAGTCGACAGTAGTGAAGCAGAAGCGTCAGACTTTTAGTGCCATCAAATGCTAGCTCCCTCCCTGCTATCCACTTAACGCCCCGCAACGATCAATCGAACCATCCACAGTTTGTGGTCCTGTCGTTTTTCGGGTGGTGTTTAAGGCAATACATTTTAGATGGATAATTTAGCTGTCTGGCAGCAGCCTGTGGTGTTGCTTCTTTGCTTGTGTGTGCTTTGCTTGCAAGGGCAAGTGAACAGTAATTACTGCCCCACGCAGTACACCCTCTTTGGGGAGTCCTGTGGTCTACAGGGATTGTATTCCTCTGTGCATTTCTCCAGGGAGGCATCGAGAGCATCTACCTTTTGGTTCTGTGGAAAGCCTGTTTCCGAATTGTACTTGTGTATATCTCAGATGCAGTTTGACTAGTCAGAGCTGCTTGAGTGGTAAAATATTTCACATGATCATCATGTGATAGGGTGTCAGGTTGAAGGCTTCCATGATGACATTTTCCTGTATTTGGCAAACTGGCACTTGTTTGTTCTGCTTTTTCTAAAAATGTCTGCTACTTGCAAGCTAATTTGTACAAAATATGTGAAATGCATGGGGACCAGTGGCTGATTCGACTTTTTGCAGCTGAGGTGAAGTTATGAAGATTACCGTTTTACAGTAGCATCAAGAAAGAAAGTGCCCTTCGTGATTGGGTACTTTCATTTGGACAATGT